TAAATAAAGCAGGCGGTATCCAATAACGTTGTAAAAAATATTTTTAAATCTCCTTACAAGTACGAGCCATTTATCCGTACTTGAGGTCAACCAAGTCTTCGTCCTATGCAGATTTCGAACCAGGACCGGCGAAATGTTTTTGAAAGTGGAAGGGTACAAAATGATTAGACTGTTGAAGGGTTTGAAAAATGACAGAAACTTAATGAAGTTTTGAAATATGATACCCTAGGGATGGCCAGAAACTGCATATAATCTAGGTTTCGACTGAAAATAAGCCCTAGGCAACATTTTCAAACGTTGAAGCTCACTATGTCCTACGGTTTTATCTATTTCAATATTGACATGACATTAGAAAGGTCTTGCAAAGTTTCAGAATAACTATTTTAGCGGATTGAGTATAATCAATTTTTCTTACATTAAATGATAAACCAAATAATATAGAGAAAAAAATAGAAGAAACTAAGTTTAGCAATAAAACATGAACATACAATCAACAACAGAATAACAATAACGACTTGAACTACAAGACTGTAAAATTTTTGAAGACAATGTTTTAAAAATTCGAGGTATTATTTTTGGGTATTAGAATATGGTTGTAAAATTTTCACGAAAAAGTTCTTCTAATAATGACAAATCTAGACTTGAAACATTTCCAAACTGGGCTTGCCGAAACGATTTTCAATAGAATTTATCATCATAGCTAGAAACTCAAAATATATACTTATAGATAGGATAGTATGCTTGCTCTCGTTTAAGTCTTCCTCTACCACAAATAATTCGTTTTCAGCTTTATAATAAGCGTTTCTTCTCTTTTTTTGACAGTGTACATAGAATTGTATAAAATTCAATCATATAGAATCATAAATATAATCAGACTTTGAAGCTTTATATACTATTATTTCAAAGAAGAACACCGCCGATTCTTTGTTTTTCATATTCTCAAATTTATCTTCCTAACAATTTCCTTTCTTTCAAAAACTGTAAATCTCTGGCTCTGTAACATTGTTAAGGATTTGTTCATTAGCAAATAGATCTTCTAACGCGAGTTTAGGCTAAAGAAAAAGCGAAACGCTGTTAATGGGCATTTGGAACAAGTTATTCAGGATCGCTTTCTCCGCCAATTCCTAACCCAACACGATTTACCAAAAATCGAACAATGGATTAAGTTTCCGATCAATTTTTAAACAGATGTTACTCAACTTGGACAATGATTCAGTATCTTTGATCAAATTGTAAATATTTCAATGATCAAGAATTAGCTATGGGCCAGGGAGGAAAGCAACAACGATGTTAGCGAGATGTTGAAGCATGAATAGGCAGAGAAAAAAAATTGAGGTTGAAGGTGAATGTGAAGCGGATGAAAGGAATAGAAATAGAAGTTAAAGCTATCTGTAGTTGAATTATGGACTTGATAAATAGTCAAATAACCAAAACAGGAAAGCTCAATATCTTTCTAATCTACACAGGTCTTGTCCGTACAACGGAAAACAGATCGAGAATTTACTGAAAATATTTGGGTGTTCCATTATTATTATTTGGGTACTTATTGCAGCAAATATTACAGCCATTTCATTACCTGAATCTTCATTGTAGCCTTTACGTTTCTCCCAGGGCCGTCGCCAGCTATTGTGCCAAGGCAGGGTTGGCGACAGAAATTAAACTTTACCGACGAAGCATCCTTAGATGGCCCAAAATTCCCCATTCTTGACACCGAATTTATTTTCAAGGGGGTGTTATACCGCTAGCCCCACATACCTCTTATATCAACGGACCCGGTTTCACCTAGAAGTTACTTGTCGCTTGATGAAGCGAATAGAAAAGAATTATCGATATGTGAATTCACGTTTTTTCTGTCAATAGAAAGCAAGCCATTTTATTTCCAATGCTGTATTGCATCAAAAAAGGTTTGTTGTGCATCTGAATCCCATTTGAAGTAACGAGCGCTAGTTAAATTTTATTTGAAAAACGACCAACATAAGAAAATAGAACGAACTGACTATAACATGCTAGGATTTTTCATTTAAATCTTGAATGAACTTGTTCTTTGAATAAAGTTGAATTAAAAATCTTGAGAAAAGTTTCCAACGATGAAAAATAATCCTTAGGACTTTTGTGAATATATTTAATTGTAAACATTTATTTTTATTTGATGTTCAAGGTTCCGAACAGCTTTAGGCAAAACTTTCGATTAAATTAAAGTTATGAAGAGAGAAACAAAATATTTGACCAATTTCATGTTTAAAAATTAAGTACACTGATTAAGGAACGGTAAGATTCTTTTCTATAAAACGTGTTCTATAATTTAGAAAAGTTAAACTGTTTTTTAAGTGTTAAACTGTTAAACTGTAAATTAACTGGATTTATGCTGCTGTTGCTTTACGTTCTCCACGAAGAGTGTTTGGGCTGAAGGACATGCACAGGAATTGTTCCAACCTCGAGACAATAAATCTATCTATACTTGGTAACAGGGGCGGACTGGCTAATTTTTTTGGCCCGGGCAAATTTTGATCAAACCGGCCCACAATAATAGCAAATAAAAAACTCCTCGGAAAATGCAAGTAAATGTTAGTCTGTAAGGAAAACAAATTTTTAAATTCAGTAATTTTGTGCATGGATGAATACTGGTTGACATAATATGGTTAACAGAACATGTTAAATATGTCATATGCTGACTAAACTGTAAATAAACACAAATGTTAACTTGTTGGTTTGACTCTGTTTCTAAATACAGGATATTATATGTTGATAATGTGATCGTTCTGGATGTCATCTAACAAGTGTTTTTCTAAGAACATTAACATGAAGGACTCCAGGTTTGGCTGCGAAAAACTACTACATAACCAGTTCTTTATTTATTTAAAGTGGAAATGCTTCTATCACACTCCACTTGTGACAAATAATTTTCTAATTCTCCGGAAAACCATAATGATTTTCAGCAACCCAAAAATATCAATTCGTCAATTTCTGACCCCAAAAAGAAAACATGGGCCCCTCTGTTGAAATTTTATCGTGTAGCACCATACCCCTGTTTGGCGGGGTTGCATTTGACTTATGATAGTATAGGCCTAATAAACTTACCATAACTTGTACGAGTTTAGTGGAAGGAGCAAGAGCAAGACCCTGCTGTTTTTTGTGACGTTTGTGGAATTTGCTTGATAAAAAAGCTTTGTATCGCAGCTGAATCCTTTATAAGTCTCACAGCTTTTCCTCTATAAATGTCTGTGCACCACCTTTGGTTAAAGTCTTCTTGCTCTTCCCTCGTTCTACGTATGTCCTCTTCATTGCTTCACATCACAGAGCAAATCGCTTAGTGAACTCTAATTTTTGGACTTTTAAATTTATTACACTAAGCAATAGTTTGTGCTTAGACAAAAAACATGACCAGCTTCAGGCAAAAGCTAAGTAAAAAAACATCAAGGCAGGTCAAAATCTTATGTATCGCATTGAAACAGGATTGTTACAGTATAATATGTCGCCAAAAAGGAAATACCGTCAAGAGAAAATATAACAAGATTTCAATGTTTCCTGAATAAGTGTGTTTGGGCTGCGGTGACAATAATGAATTCATAAGTTTGATGGTTTTGGAGTACTCGCGTGTATATTTATTCTTTTCCACAATGTCTCTGAAAATTCAAGGCAAACAGATGAACGCATGGGTATAGTTTTTTGCCTTGCATTCACTTTTTAAGCTAATTTATTTTCTTCCACTTTTATCAACCGGCCCTTAAACCGACCGGCCCTTCGGGCGATCGCCCGAATAGCCCGACCAGCCAGTCCGCCCCTGCTTGGTAATAGCACAGATATAAACAGACTTCTTTGTTCCTTTTGCAAGTAGCTGTTCTAGGCTTTAGAGAATCCTGTACAAGCTATGTATCATGTCATTAGCCATGCAATGCTTATAGTGTTTCTAGAATGTGTACTAATGAAAAAGCTTCAGTGAGCAAGAGTAAAGAATGCATTTAAACGTTGAAAAGTATGATTCCAAAACTGTCCCATACATTTGAGCAAACAAATGTGATGAATCTATCGCGTAAATGCAGTCAATTTTGGAAAACCCTCTTCAGTATCAAATCAGTGGTTGAAATACAGAAAAACCCCGCAAACAAGAACATAGGAAAATAAGAGCCTACAGACTGACTTTGTGGAAAATAACACCAAAAGATAAGAACCAAAAACAGACTGATTTCTTTCCATGTTCTTATGAGATTGTACATCATATTAAATAAATCATGAAATTCTCAAAGTCAGTAAGTGTTATTTTCAAGTCGTCATTGTGGTTTGATTAATTGATATTCAGAGCCATGTCATGTTATTTTCATTTTTCATAGTGTGATTGAAACTAATTTTTCCCCAACAAAAACCATATCCTCTACAATTCAGTCAGGCCATTCTCAAATCTAGTTACTTTTATCTTGTGCATCATAGTTGTTAGTGTCCTTGCGATAAGAGCCACACCCTGAAAAAATCATGAGTACCACATTTATAAGAACCTAGTCAGTCTGTTCTTTAGAAAAGTAGGTTCTTGTTTGCGGGGTTTTACTATAACGGCCGGTGATCGGTGAAAACCGACGGGGAAATAAAAAACATCGACGGGACACTGGCATGATTTGTGGTGAAAAACCGACAGAATATTTTGTCTGAGTGGCATTTTGTCCAGTGGAGTTTACGTAAATCAACATTTTTCAATTGTTATACCCAATTAGTTCTAATCAATTCTCGATCTTTTCTCAATACACCCCTTAATTGCTAGTTAAGCTGCCCTTACTTCCAATACAATGTTGGGAGTACACCCCAGTCATCCTATTTTCTAAAATGCAGGTTACTTTCGAGCAGCTTAGCTCTTTGGAGAAGAATCCAACAGCGCTTGATTAAAAGTTGGCAATGCTGGCGATGTTGGCGATGAATGACAAAAGTACTGGCGATGTTCTAAGACTTTTTTGATGCGTTGTGCATCTGATGAAGGTAAACAGATTCTTCATTAAAGTAGCTTTATAAAGGCTGTTATTGATGTTATAAAAACATACAGGAAAAAAGAATCTAGATAGCTAGCATGATTTAGCATTATATACGAAATTACAATGCGATGAATATGAAATTAAGCATACTGCTTTGTCATACACATTGACTGTCAGACATAGTGATCAATCAAGATTTTCAACCAGCGGTATCTCTGAAGCACCCTTCTGTTCTTTGCTTCTCTATGTAATCCAATCATGTGTTTAATAAAGCTTACTACATTTTTGGATTAGAAAGTAATTATGGGGCGTTCTGCACTGGTTCCACATTGAACTTTTGATGGCTTGAATTCAAACTTGAACATTTTCATGCAAGTAATTTTTTACCGCTCAATTCTTTTAGTAAAATGTCAAGGGGAAACTGATGCAAAGGTTTCTAAAGCCATGGTCAAAAGAATTATGCATGGGCATAACATATCATACAAAATTGTCGAAAAGTATCTTTTCTACTCGTCTACATGATTTTCTACGAAATTTTATTTCCGTCAAACATTTAATAAAACATCTCATTTCTTCTCATCTCATGCATGTTCGACAATTTTTCAATCGTTTGACCACCCCATAGAACATTTGTTTGACTCACGCAAGCGCAGTAAGACAAGTTCGGTAAAAAGCGCAGTAATAATTATAGGAAACGGTGCGGCAACCCTGAACGGCCACAAATTTTTGACACAATCTTGATTCGCTCTGCTAGGTCTAAAAAGATCGTCCAACGTGCATTAAACAATATTTGTCAATCATATGTGGACAATGTTTTACAGATGCTTGATTCGTTTGACCAGACCTTAATATCGATCAGTTTGGTTTTCCCACTCATTAGGCAGGTACACAGGAAGGAGGTTTCAACACACTGCTAAAGAGACCGGCTTCCGTGATAGCCATTGATAATTGTAAGGATGGGATGAATACAGTACGGGTCACATTGGCAATGAGATAGGATCTGCGATTAAGACAGGTGGCATTCAAATAAGGACGTCATTAATAATTTAGGTCAGTTAAGAACTCACGCCGGGCACAGGTTTTACAAAGCAGAATTTGTCATTGACAAGCTACGGTTTTTCAGCCAGTATCATTTGCGAAGCAAGTTTTGTCTTGTAGTGTACATTGCACATCACTACTACATCGAATTTGACTAGACATCGCGGCAGTAACAGTTCTGGCGTTCAGTGTGCATTTTATGCTAGGCAAAAGGAAGCTGCGATTGTTATCCGAGGTTGTCTATCGCATGAGCAGCGGCTGTAAGCGCATACTGCTGCAGATGATGTTTTCTGAGCAATGGGCAATACAAGTATGATCTATGTACAACGGTGATTTCTGCCCACAAAACAAACTAATGTGGATGATCCATTCAAAATCGAGCAGCTATGGTTTTGGACTATCCCGTATTTAATGCAGCTTTACAACAGGCCACGAGCTCTTTTCACGAGGGTCAAGGGAAAGCTAAGGACAGGGTTATCATAAATGTTGGAGGCAAGCGACATGAAACTTACATTAGCACCATCAGAAATTTTCCAGATACAAGGTTGTACTGGATCGCCGAAACTGCAGCTAAGATGGTGGATTTTGATCCAGAAAGAAACGAATTTTTCTTTGATAGACATCCAGGTTGTTTTGAAAATATTTTAAATTACTGTCGAACTGGGAAATTACATTGTCCCAACGATGTTTGTGGACCCCTGTTTGAGGAAGAGCTCGCATTTTGGGGCATTGATGAGCTGCAAATGGAGCCTTGCTGTTGGGGAACGTACACACAACACAGAAATGCACACAAACACCTTCGCATGTTCGATAAGTTAAGGACAGAAGGTGGTGAAGAGGAAGAAGAGCCTGACGGCGAGGGAAGAGTAGGCCCAGTTCGTCATTACGGGCCAATAGCTACATTTTGCAGATACTGGAGACCGATCGTCTGGTCGACTCTCGAAAGGCCATATTCCTCAAAATATGCTCAGGTAAGCTGCCTTTTGACAATTAGTTCAATAAACCAGCATTAATTAAGCAAGGTTCCGCTCATATACACTTCATGTTTTGTGTTCGATACAAAAACATTACACATTGTGCTCTCAGAGTAAATAATTACGCGAGCAATAGTTGAACTTTAACATGATCAAAATTGAAAAACAAAAATCTCAACATATTAAGACTTCAAAAAATTTGTCTTGCTTTGTTTTGCTCTGGTCACAGTTCTTAACTCTTGTTTTTATGCCAAAAAATGCTGTCATTTCAATGAATCTACTGTATGACAGATCTACATTGAGACTTTCTGAAACATTCGACACTTGTTTGATCAACATGACTTTGCAACCTGCAATTTCGTATGTCAGTCGTAAAGACTGTCCTTCGCCAGTCAATCATTTATAGCATAAAGCTTAAGCAGGTAGTGTTTTCGGCAATATGAAACGAATACTATTGATTAAATCCTTGGTATTTGCAGTTCACAATTAGCTTTGTCAGCAATCTCGAATTAGAACTCTTGAATTTACAAGTCAACAATGAATTAGAACTCTTGAATTTACAAGTCAACAATGTCCTCTAAATACAGAAGCTTAGATTTTCTTTAATTTTCAAAACGAGGAAAGTCAGGAAAAAGGGATGTTTTTCTTCAGACATCTTAATGATAGATGCCTTTTGAGACATCAAGGATATTTTCATATCTCATTGATAAAACATATGCACAACAAAAGCGTTTTGCTGCATTATGTTCAAATTTCTTTAGCATTCACGATTATGTGTCAATGACATGAAAATCTAATACATTGCAGCTATTACTGCTACTAATCGAAAGATATAATTCCAGATAATTTTTCAATATTCAAATGTCGACTCTGCTTGATTAAATTTACAGAGTTTTTGATATCATAGAAGTTTCGAAAAAATACTCTCCATATATAATGTAAGTACTAGTAGAACAACAGCCAATGGACGTCAAAAGCGTTTTGCTTATTTTCCCAGCCACGTCCAATAGCATTCAATATTGCTTTGACGGTAAAGAAAGGGGCATCAGTCGTCATATCAATTTGGCAGTATCATCCTTCTTGAATGTACATGAGATTATATTGGCTATGTTTTTGTGAATACATCGCCAAAAGATTATTTTTATCTTGTTTGCATTTGAATATGGCATAAGTTAGGCCTTTTTATAAATTCTCCCTCTTGTACTGCTATGGCTCAGTGCGTTTTTGTGCATTTCGGCAATGCGAATTTGACATTCTGAGAAAACTGTGATGTCGAAATAATACCCGAATATCTCTCAAATTATTGTCTGCTTCAGTATTACATTGAAAGACATGAAAACTGTGTCTAGCTTTGGAAATTATTTACATAATGTACAAATTAGTGTAATGCATAATGAATAATGCACCAGTTACAATAGGACATTTTAAACACTTGTATACGAAGGTTTTCCATATGAAACCACTTAATTTGACTAATTTAATCGAGCAATTCGCAGGAATCCAGCCTGGATCGTGTACAGCAGCAAAACAAGCTAAATTTGATGACTAAATGGGATAGGAAGGAAATTGGAAAGGAAAATTTGCAAAAAGGTTAATTAATATGATTACACTAAGTTGTAAAAGCCCAAGCTCATAGATGGAAGGCTGGAGGGCTAGGGGATGCAGCCCCAAATAATTGTCAAACCGACTATATTTCCATTATAGCAGTGTATTGAATGGCAGTCCCCCAATATGAAATTCGTTCCGACGGTACTGAAACGGATAAGCAAACAAGTAGTTTCAGAACTTGAGTTTCTTAGCTAGCCAGAACGTTTTATGAGTTTACTTACCAATCGTTAAGATCAAAATATATGAAATCTCTTGAAATCTTCATTTCAAATCTTGAGCCACACCTGAGAAAACGAAACATTGGCGTGAATGCCACAGGTTCAATTGACTTCAACCGATATTTGACTACCAAGCTTTCGTTTTTAACATCGGATATTCATACAAATTCACAAACCTGCTACATGTCCCACAACAGGGCATTTTTCAAAATACCTATTGGTGGGGGAATTGCCCCACCAGGCCCTACGACTTCCCCAGTGCAAGTGTAAGAACCTTTCTTAAACAAATAGTTTTTTCAAGATATATCTTGCAAAATAATCAGGGCTTCCGAGAAATTTTGGAGGCCCTGGGACGGTCAAAAAACGAGTCAAAAAACGAGGCCCTCTGCAAGCGAATTTTTTTTGCAACCATGCCCTTTATATTAGAGTAGCTTAAATTTATTGATCCTCTTGCAATCGTTGAAAAATTTTAGGGGAAATTCTGCTACTTTTAAGCGATTCCATTTTCAAAAGAATTCATTTCTTTATGAGGCCCCTTGGACCTCAAGGCCCTGGGAAAATTTGCTCCCCTTTCCCCCTCTCTGCATCCCTGGAAGCAGCCCATCTAGCGCTTAACACAAGCCAGTACTTTAGCATATGCGGGGTCTTTAAGCGTGGGTCCTTTTGAAAAATGCCCTACCACTAAAAAATCATTAAAAATGCCCTGTCCCACAAATACCTTATAGTCTGGGATGCAAAATATTTAAAACTTTGTAAATATAAATTGCGTTATTTGAAAAGTATTCATAGAACTTAAAACAACAAACATATCAACTGCCTCAGTTCATTCCATTTATTGCTGCCTCAGCTCATTTCAGTCTAGGCAATCTGTCAATGGAGACTAAGCAACAAGAACTAAACTTAAAACGTAAATTTACATGATATACGGACATAATCCAAAGACGCAACATAAGTGGCATTTGGGGAAGGAGGCACCCTGAGCAGGTAAAAGCAGCAACCCCTTTTAAAAGACGTGTCATCTATAAAGTTTAATTTTTAGCACGATATTGACAAATGGGGATATCATTATTTATACCAGTATATTACATAAGCTATCGCATAATTGCGCTATTCTTGCTGGAAAGATAGCTTACTGTTTTTAATCTTTTGAATACGCTCTTTCCTCTACCAATTCTGCTCTCTTTCCCATAGTTTTGAAATGTTAGATAGCTTTAAGAAATAATTTTCCGAAACCAATTTTCTTTATGGAGCATAGGACGTTGGCTCCTTTGTCTGGCAGAGGAGAGAAGATAAGTATCACAGGTGGACTAATCGCGTATATTGATACAGATAAATAGCTTGAACTCTGATAAGAAATAGCTGTATTATAATTGATAGTACAACCAATAAACCGATAACTTTCAAAATCTAAAAGTATATTAATTAATGTAAGAAATGACAATTCAGCTACAGCCTGAACTTAGATTGCCACCTGCTATAAAAGGTTGACCACAGAAAGAAAAGTCAGGGTACATGCAGACATTTTGAAATGATTTTGTGGCTAGGCTTTAAAAAGAAAAAAGAATGCTAAAGCCAGCGTGATCAAACAGAGATGGAGAAAGACTTTGTATAGTTTGAATGAGTCTGATTGAGTACTAGGCAGGAGTAACTTATGGCATGAAAGTGATCTATAATTTCAATGAATATCTCCTGATTGTGCTCAGCAATCTTTTTAGACTCTTTTGAATTCCCTTTCGATCTAATTTTAGTAATTTGCATTACGTTGCGGCTACTTTTGTACCACGATATTTTTCCTTTGTAATCTGAAAGGTGTGTGTTTTTCAATTAGTAGTGTGTGATAGGTATTATTGTTAATATGACGGTTTTGAAAAGGAGGCCAGCAAATTTCACTTTAAAATCCTACCCTCGTTAACTTTTCTTTTACCAATGCAAAGTCCTTTACCAATGTAACATGAAAGATTTTCTTAATTTCGTACCAAAATACAAGAACCATTGTCTGTTCTACGACACTATCCAGACACAATTTCATGATATAGGAAAAGAGGGTTTTCAAAGTTAAGTTTCGATGCCTAGTCGAAAAGTAATCAGTCTGTAGGAAACAATCTTATTTTCCTCTCGTTATCTACAGAAAGCCAAAACACTGGTGGCTTGCAGATACTCGATTCACTGATAAATCCAATTCTAAACTTATAGAAAGCTTATCAATCTCAGATAAGTCAAAACATTTTGTAAAGTTTAAAATATTTTTCTTCGGTATCAAACTAATAGTTCTGTTTTCATAGATTTATAAATGATAGATGACTTGAAAAATAGAGCCTTATGTTGTATTCACATGCGTGTGCTAATAGTTGTACAAGAAATTGCGGGCAAACGATTTGCTTTGATTCATACAACAACCTACATCATAATTTTGCTTGAATTTCTATAACAGCTAGAAAAGCACTTCGAAAATGATAAGATCGTCTGTTGCTAGGATCTTCACAAACAGAGAACCAACAAATGCAAAAACTCATTTGAAACATTGGAAACGTAACCGAACTGAACTGCTTGTCTGGGTGTGAGTAGAGAAATTAATAATGTAAACGAATTACTGGAAATAAATATATTTTGAAATCGTCTCAAGGCTTTCTGAATAAGCAGACAGCCTTTGTCTAGTACAACTTTGAATACTAGATCCCACGTCAAACAGTGGCCGCCAGTACTCAGTATGGAGTGAAGAAAGGGCAGGTAATCCCTCAGCAAAAAAATATCGCTTGTCCTCAAAATGATCTCATTTGAAAGGAAATTGAATGCTACTATTGCAATAGTTGGTGGTCTTTTGACACACGTGTTGAGACTTCATGAGCAAATAGGTAATTACAAGGACAAGCAGATGTTAGATGCAAATAGCTTTTATATTGCTTTCAATATCAAATAAAAGTTTTTGGTAACCGGTAGCACTCCATTCTTAATAGAGACTGGGAGAAATATCAAGATACCAAAATACCAGATACACTTGAAGGTTACCAAGGAAGCGGAGCAATCTAACAGAAACTTTGTAAAGGTGTCATTTTTGAGGCATTATCACCTTTTTCAAGCTTATCTTGACAACTAATCAAAAATTGACCTAATCTTTTGAATTATTTATCTAAATCTTAAATGAATGCAGTTTACCTTTGACAATTTTAAGGT